GGCTGTCCCAGAGAAGAGACAGGGAAGGATAACATTCCCTGCCCAGCTGCTGAACCCTACCCTACCCGAATTAACCCTTCCCTGCCTGCTCCCTGGGACAGATAGCACATAGAGCCACAAGTAAATAGGGGTTGGGAGGTAGGGAGATTTGAGTAGGGATCTGGGGTGTTAGGAGCAATTGGGGGGTTGCAGGGGGGGCAGTTGGCCTGATCCAGACCTGCATGGTGGGTGTGTTTGCATTAAAGTAAGAATGGCTACACCTCAGTGTAACACCAGCTGTGTAACATTGATCATAGATAATCCTGCCCTGGAGTGCCATAATTTTGAGCTGTATAATAAGTGCTTAAAACTAGTTTCAGGTTTTAATATGCAGAAAAATCAAGGTGTTAAGAGCTTCAGTATCTGCCCAACATTACTGTGTAATAAGACCCATGGTAAGGGCAGAACCAGAAAATAAAAAGGAAATTAAGGAAACAAATGTTGGGGGATTGTGAAGGAAACATTCTAAATTTTGTAAATATTTGACTTGGTTCTGGCAATTTATCCAGTTTGTTTTCAATTATTCTCAAGAAATTTGCCTCTCACTTTTAAGTAGCACCCTCATCATTTTAAAAGCCTAATATCTATTATCCCAACCATGCCAGTGGTCTACCAAAATATATCAATCACAAAAATCCTTGCCTCTTACCCATTTTCTGAACCATCGCAACTACAGTAACACACCCAAACTGCCAAAAACAATGCTGCTCCTTCCTCCCCCTTTCCTTATTCAGAGTCCCTCTTCCCTAAATCTTTTTTAAAACCAATTTTGGAAAACAATGCTAGTAACAAGTTTCTTCTAATAACCCTTTCATAAATTTCTCATATCACCAGGAAACATTGATTTAACTTCAAACTTGGAACAGATTCAGAAGAAAGCTTCATTTTATTTTGCTAAGTGTATGCAATTATGGCCAGTCATAATAATAATATATAATATAGAATGTAACAGAATAGAACTATTTCTTTTAATAAGAATCAAGAATCTAGACTAGAAGCTTTTTCGGTAGAAGCTCTAAAGTAAAGCAGAGGAAAAGAGAGCTGTTGTACGAATAATACCGTTTTCTTTATTCTAATAAAGCAGTTCAGTGATTGTGAGCCTTAGGCTGAAGTTACATGTTACATTTAGACCATAATAAGGGCACTTAAAAAACAAGCATCCTCCAGTTAAATCTCCTTAATTCATGTTAAGTGCCCTCTGAGTATCTTAAAGTTATGCCACTACAAGCAAGGGTTAATTCTGGGCTGTATTACCTAGCTTATTTTAGGGTAACTTTATTCTTCTCCACCGAAATAAAGTGAGCAATTTGCAGTCCTCCAGCATCCCAGGATGCACTGCTCCAGCCCTCCCCATTCCACCCCCACAGACCAGGAATAAAACCTAGGTGCCCTGGCTCCCAGCCAAACCTCTACTCACCAGCCCCCTAGTGGCAAGTTGGAGCTACACAGGCAAAAAATGGTATTAAATCTTTATCATTCAACTGTGTGACAAGGGGCCTCCCAGGGTTGATCTCCACAGCCCGCCCCCTGTCTGGTCGGCAACCGCCCGCCTATCTCACCCACCACACCTTCGATGATAATTAGTTCAATTAAGATGTTAATTAAGCAGGAGGTTACCCATTGTAATCCTCCGATGCCAGGGGGCGCTCTGCAGCTCCAACCTCCCCTAATACCGCAGCCCAAGCCTTGCAGATGGCATCTAGGTTTTCATCTCTTCCGGCCCCCACACTGGGCCCCAGACTCGTCCAAACAGGACCCCTCTATGATCCCTCCTGATCGGGCGGCCTCTCCACCTTCATCCAGGCTACTAGCCCCCCCAAAGCCCTTTTCCCCTCTTGGGTGTGGTCCCCCCAGGACCTTCAGCTAACTGGCCCTGGCCCACCTCCAGGCCAGTCGGGACCCCAGGCCCCTGGCTCTTGGGCATCCCTTGCAGTGGGCCCCTGGCCCTTTTGACCCTCTCTGGTCCTGGCCCCAGCATGGGCCAGTCAAGGGTACTTTCTTGTCAGGTTGGGTCTCAAGCCCCTCTCTCTCAGGGTCCACCCTCTGGGCCCTTCCACAACTCATGGGGTTACCCGCCCAGTGGTGGGAGCTAGGGGTTATGGCACCCCAACCCACCTTTCACCAGGGTGATCACTGGCCTGGCATTTCCTGGGGGCTCCCGCACCACTGAGAGCCCCACCAGATCACCCACTCCCAGCAGGGTACAGTTTCAGGTCATGCCCAGGACCAGGAGCCTCCTTGCCAACCCCTTGCAGCGCCCCCTTACCTCTAGCTCATTCACAACAGCCCTTCAGCCAGACAATGTTGCTGTCTAACCTCCAGCAGTCCAACTACCCTGCTTATAAAGGCAACCCTTGTGTCTAAAATGGCTGCCCTAATCAGGCACCTGGAGGCTGCCAGCTCCAGGCCCTTAAAGTAGCAGGCACACGCAGTGCACTGCCACAAACTGCTCACAGCCTGTTCTAACTTTTACACTGCTTAACATTTCACAGATTTAGTACACTCTAAGTGTAACATGAAACTTCAACCTTAGTTTGCAAACTATGGGCAGGCTTAGAGGAGGGTTTGGTTAGACTTCACTTTGAGAAGCATGGGAAGATGGAAGAAAGAGAACTGTGAGTAGGTGATGCCAAAAGACAATTATGAGAAAGCAAATGGTGCCCACTTATTTAGTGAATAGGTACACATACTTAATATCGTGGAATGTGACCCTAGAAAAAAATTTAAGAATAATATGCAGGAAGGATTATACTAAAAAAATACTCTTGTATAAAAATGGGAGGGGAATGACTGTTTGGTTGATTTGGTTATGTTTTCACTTACATCAAAATCAAGAAACAAATGTGTTTTTTCTGACAAGGTTGTGCTTGGGGAGCCAAGATATTTAGCATGCACTGCTTACAAGGAGTTGTTATACATGCAAGCAAAGGAACCAGAGCAGTATAGAAGCAGATCCAAAATCTAACAGAAGAATGTGCAGGCTGAAGGGTATGGGGAAGTGAACAGAATTAATTATGGTGAGACTGAAGAAGGGAAGGTGGAAAGGACATATAGGGCACATCTACACATCAACCTATGGTAACATTGTTACTGCACCGTGCTTTAATACTTTCTTTTGGAAGCATTAGTTTAGTTTTAGGTTAGTTTTGGCCACTACTTTGCTGTAGCCTCATGTGATTGCTACATTGCAATAGCATGGCATACGACAATGAAGTGCATCGCTATGGCAAGGTAGGGTGACATGTAGGCAAGCCCATATGGCAATATATATTGGCACATAGTATAGTTAGAGGATTAAGTGGTAATTTAGCTTTATTCAAGATGCAGTAAGAAAGGGAAGATGCTGTAGCTTCACTGGTGATGTATAGCTCTGTACTAGAATTTTGTGATAATGATATAAGTTTTCAGAGGCTTCTGTTTGTGGAAGGGTATGATTCTGCTTCAATTGGACGTTGGTTGTTTCCAAGTAATAGGTTTGGAAATAATGCAGGATTTATGGTTTGTGAGATTTTTTTTTGATCTGCACTGGGGCCAAACTAAGTTTTTAAACATTTCCTATGAACTAGAATATCAAAATAAAAACTAATCAGGAAATATTGAGGCAGGTAGTTTCAGAATGGAACATGCTGGTCAGGACCCTGCTCTGTGAAACAGATGTTCTTAAATGCATTCCCTCCCCTTCCCCAACCATTTCTGACTTTTTCTTTCCCTCTCTATTCCCTATAGATAAGTATAAGTGAGCTAAGACATAGGATAAGCTTCAGCATTTTATTTTGGTAGCAAGTTGTATTGGTTTTGTTTTTTCTCCTTTTTTATATTGTATAATTATTATGTTTATATTGATTTTTACTGTTCTATATTACTGTCTTACTGGTACTATATGATTTAGGCCTACATATGTAGGTTAGCATAAGTCATGTCAAGTTTCCATTTTGCTTGTAAAGTCTCCATCCTGTCCCCAGGCCCGGTTGTGTAACACATGACCCGCACCTAGCCCACCTATGTAACTTGGTTCCTGAATGAATGAGGATGAATGAGGGTGCTTGAGAGACAAGGGCAGTAGGTCTAAAAATAGCTCCCTCTGAATGACCGAACCATCAACACCAATACCTGGACCAACGACACACCCCTTGGAACCACCCTCAGCATTCAAGACACAAAAGATGAGGCAACCCACCATCCTGCCCACCACCTATCCACCCAGAGGCTCTGCTGGTGACCCCCATCTGGACAACACCTACTGGACAAGGACCCCTTTCCAGCCTGGATAGGTAGCTATCACCCCCCACTCCCCCTTCAACCAAGGACTTGGATTCTGCTTCTCTTCCCTACCTGGACTCCAGCCCTTCCACTGAGTCTCTTTCTCCTGCTGCCAGTGTGTGTGTGTGTGTGTGTGTGTGTGTGTGTGTGAACCAATAACTTCATGGGGCTGTGTAGTGTGTTGTCTGTGTAATAAAACTGTTATTTGGACCACTAAATTGGGTTTTGCTTTACTGTGGTTTGTCCCTGCTCCAATCTCTACTCCTTGCCACTCTAACTTCTGTCTCATTTCTCCCTCTCCTGCTTCTGGCTCACTGCCACCTCCAACACCTGTCCTGAGCTCCTCTCTGCCTCCAAACTCCCTGTTTCTTTGCCACTGTCTTATCCCCACTGCCTTTTCCTTTTCCCCTGAGCAACCAGGTTTCTGCCTCAGTTTCTTTCCTGCCTGTCTCCTCTGATAAGTGGGAAGGTAAGCACCACTTATCTGCCCCCTCACAATCTCTAAGCTGTCAGCCTGTTTCCAGCCCCAAGCTTCCAGGTTTCTGCATCTCTCTCTCTTTCCTGGCTGTCTCCTCCTTGCCACCACTTATCTTCCCCCTCCCCCACAATATCTCAGCTGTCTGCCTCAGTTCCCAGCCCAGTCTACCTTAAGTAAATCCAAGCCTCAGTTCCTCAGCCAGCTTCTCTGTAGTCCACCGGTTCTAATCCCGGTTCTGGCAACTTGCACTCCCTACACTTTAACTCTCTCTCTCACCTGAACCTTCTCCCAAGTATCCTAGGTACCCCAAGCACACACACACACACTGTACCATCCAAGTTAGGAACTTACTTATGTGTAGGTGGGTTGTGTGTGTGTGAACTGGTGTGTGTGTGTATATATATATATATATATATATCTCTATATGTCGTTGTGTGCATGATATACAAATTAGTGATCTGTGTCTAATTTTTGGGGTATATAGTGTACATGCTTGAATTGGTGATAAGTATGCATGTGCCTAGGCTGGTTTGGATGTGTATATGCCTGAGTTGGTAGTGTGTGTGTGTGTGTATGCACCTAATTGATTTGTGTGTTTGTATATGTTCAATTGTGTCACACCCTCCTGTAACAGTGTGATATTGAGATCCTGAGAGTTGGCCTGACCTCACAGGGAAACACACTGCTGGTAATTTTCCTGGTGAAACTGATTGGATTATCATAGACATCATAGAGAAGTAGGGCTGGAAGAGACGTCCACAGGTCATTAAGTTCAACCCCCTGCCTGAGGCAGGTTTATCTCTGTCCAAACGTATCAGTTTCCCTCAGAAACTTCAGACCCCACATTTTTTCTGTTCCTCTCTCTGGCAGGACATCCAGAGACTAAGAGCCCCAGTTAGGGTTGGGGTTACCAGAACTTCCAAGAGCTATCAGTCTCCCAGCTGCAAGGCAGAAATTCTAGAAATCTTTGTAGATTGGATGTCCCAAAGCCACAGACCCCAAAAACACTGGATTCCTAGTCCTGGGACAGTCTGTGTGGTGGGGCTGCTGCAGAGCCCTAGGCCTAGAAGTTTGTCCCAGGAACATCAATTAAAGCCCAAATTGAAGAGTTTCTAACATTTTTTCTTTAGGATTTCCAAGATTTTCAGACTCCTGATATCATTTTCTGGAATGTTTGGCATGGATTATTTCCATGAAACGACAGACTCTGGGACCACTAAGGTCTTCAAGCAGCCTACTGTGAACCTGACCGTTGGTTCCTAAAAAATTTATCACACCCAAATTATTTGGGATGAAACATTCCAGTTCAATTAATTGGCATTTTTTTGACCAAGGTCTGTTTGGCTGGAGATTTTCCAACCGTTTCTAGGTGAATGTAATCCCCCTCTCCCACCTGAATGGAACTGAGCTGAACACACCAACGTTTTGTGTAGATGTTTAGGCCTGTGGTTCCACTTCAAACTGCTTTCTGTTGCAGGCTGGTCTCAAAGCCTCAGGGAGTGGCTGTACTTGTTGCTATTCCTCCTGCTGTTGTGGAACAGAATTGCTTTATCACTCTGCCCTTGCTGTTTTCAAATTGCTTACTAATAGTAAAGTAAAAAAAAAAAAAATGATGGTTTGGGGCTTGGTTCAGGGCTTGGTCTGAGAAACCAATGCAGCATAAAATGTTAAAATCCCACATTGACCTTTTTGTAATAAGTACGCTTTGGAACATTCACCCATTTATGGAAAATGATGGCAGCATGCCAAATTTGCTGGAAATCAGATGCAAGTTCCAGCTCCCAGCTGCCGACACTGCCTAAAACTACTATTTGGTCATAGACCTATGCTGCATACACAACTCTGACAGATGGAAACATGCTTAGAGAGAAGGTGTCTGCACCTGTCATACAATGAAAATGTTTGCATCCTTGCTGTCTATCTACCTTTGAATCAGAACCTGATTTATCAATAACTTGATCTAATTAAAATAGTTTTCAACGTACCCTTCTTAGAACCAAGGTGCTTTATGCCTGGGGTAGTTTTCAAGAGCATTGTCTTCCTCACGGCCTAGCCTGATTCTTCATTTTGCTTCACTTCAAGCTTACCATGCTCAGAAAACAATGATATGTCTGTGATCTCTTTCCCATATTTTTTAGGAGGAAGGAAGGAAAACAGAAAATAAACACTGAAAAGTCCAATCATGTTCTCCCATCCCATATCATGGCATAAAAGACAGCAAACAAAAACACCAATTTCCACCTTCGTTTTCCCTTTTGCAATTAAAACAATGGGCATGTTTATATGTGTTGTTAAGGTGCAGCAATAAACTCTGGTGCTTATTGATCCGGAGTTTAGTGCTCCCAGGTGCTGTACCTGAACATGTGCTTGGGACCATAGCATGTTGAGCTGGGTCAGAGCAGCCCTGGCTGGCAAGTGGTCTGGGGGGGTCAATCTGCCAGCCCAGGACTGCTGCCCCTGGCTCAATGTGATGTGAAGGGGCTAGCTGGGCACAAGGTTGTTTCAGTGTGGGGCTAGTGGGCAGGCAGACCCCGCACTGAAGCATCCTCATGGGCCAGCCAGCCCC